ACTATTACTATTGATATTGCATTCTGACTCTCCCCCACGGCGTATAGAGTTTCTGTCGAGTGATTTACGGTGACTTATTTCTATAAAACCTTAAAAATTCAATTTGAGTAATGTAAAATCATAGTACGGATAATCCGCCGCCCGGAAAATATGCGCATGGATAATCGGGAAGTTACTGTACTATTTTTAAATTAAATTTAAAAGAAGTCAAAAGAAAATGTAGAAAGTATTTTTGAAGTGTGTATATTTTAAGCAATTCCTAGCTGAGCGCTTTCGGCTATACAAAGCCATCATCACAGCTATGCTACAATAAAATGTTCTTATAAGTACTAATTGGTGAAGATTATAATTTTTAACTTACGTCAATTTATAAATACCACTACAATGGAGAGATCTCATTTCCTTATTGGAACCGTGCAAGTTGGGAACAGCGACACCTGGTGTCGTAAATCAGCCAAATTTATTGCGCTTTCATGTTAGATCGAGGTTACCGGATAACTATCAAGGACGTGGCCCCAAAAAAGAATAAGAAGAAAAAGTAAGATTGAGGTTATGTCGGTATGTTATTAAAAGGTAAACGTTGATGTAGCGTAAATACAAATAAATATATTATTGAATTACAGCATTACTGTTAATATGGATGCAATAATAAAAACTGGATTTGAGAAAGTAAATCACCAAATAACTTTTCAACCAAGCACGAGTCAAAGGGAAAAACTTTAGTAGTGGCAAATGTCAAAAAAGAATGGAAGAATTATGTGGAGTGGAAGAATTAAGAAAAATAAATTACCGTAATTAATGCTAATGCATAAATTAGCAGGTTAAGCCCATGATATCATCATATTGATTTGAACAATTAATTCTTTCCCTGTAAACTTCTGGACAGCGAATATATCTTAATGCATCTTCAGAAAAACTTGAACTTGATGCATTTTTGTAAACTTCAAAAAAATAAAATTCAAACATTAAACTTGATTTTTGGGTTAAAATGAACTCCAAGTGAGTGTTATGAAACTAAAATTTACACTTAAAAGTGAACTTTTATTTAATATTTATTTCAAACTGACTTTAAAATTGGACGCAAGAATAATGCATAATTTAGGTTATGTTACTTATGCTTTTTTATAATATAATTCCACTTTTCTCTTTGTAGTAGCTTTGTGCTTCGAAGTTGGAAACGAATAAAACTTAAATTGACAATTTTTTGTTGTATTTTTACAATTTATAACACAGCATTTCCTAAATCCCATTTTCTTCAGTGACAGAAGGTGTAAATAAACAAAACGAATGTGAAATATGACAATTGACAATATGAATTTATGAAATCTATAATCTATGAAATGTGCATTAAAAAATGCAAGATTTCTCCACTACTCGCGCACGATCGTTTCTCGTATCCCCTCCAAGTACTTGCACGTCGCCAATAGGTCGAAATTATGATTTTTTAGTTGTTGAAATTCTTAAAAAACATATAAAAAACCGACACTAGACTTCACAGACACGTTAAAAAATTGAAAAAATTTTTTGTCATGGTACGGGTGTAAGAACCCGACCATTGATTGATGTGAGGAGGTAGACAGAATAGAACTAATGAAATCAAATGTCGGTCCTTTTAAACGATTTTTCAAAAGTGACAGTTGACAAATGTCATATATAGGAAATAGAGATTGTTTTTTAAATTCTTACAAAATTATTTAATAGTTTGGAATTACTAATAGTCATCAAAGACTTTCTAAAAATTAAGTTTTTAAATTAAATTTTATGTGTTCATCACATCATACAGAATGACATTAGTTTGTAAATTCACTCAAGTCATTGCTCAAGATCAATGTATGTTCAATCTGACAGCCATCCTTAAGAAACAAGGGCTCAAATTGTTCAACAATAATATAAAGAAGAAACATGCTATTAATGTTACATTATCTGATACTTAAGTGTATTGAGAATTGTATCTCTTGAGGGAAATTTGTAAGAAATTTGCATAAAAATTTTTTAAGAATATATTTTCATGTTTCAATTAAGAATAACTGTCAAATGAATTACAAAATGTTGTAAATTTCTAATAAAGTTTAAAATTTTGTTTAAAAATATAAAATTATGAAAAAATATAATAAGATTGCATATGATATCATATGGTCAGTTTGATACCAACATCCTCAAATCACCCTTTTCAACACAAGATGGCAGCTATTCAATGTTATGTCCACAGACTTCTTAATATCCCCATGTCTCAAGAAAATTACAATAAAGAAATCTCCTTCATTAAACAGATAGCAAACAACAATGGTTTTCCTTCTACTACTGTTGATAAAGTCATTAGAAAATCTATACTCAAAAAGAGACTAAACCAAGCTTTTAATGTTGATAAAAAATCCAACACTACTTCCATATATAGATCCTTATCTTACTTAGGACCAATTTCAGAAAAAATTTCAAGAGTACTTGTTAATAAAATCAGTGACTTAAACATCTCCTTTAAAACACAATATAACATCAAGTCCATCTTCAGCAAGACCAAAGACAAAGTTGACAAACTAAACAGAAGTGGTATTTACAAGCTGTCCTGTGGTGACTGTAATATGACTTATGTAGGTAGAGCAATGAGAACTCTGAATCAAAGAATCAAAGAACACCTCAATAACCCAGAAAAATCAAACTTTGGATATCACATTAAATTTAATAATCATTCCTTTTCTCCTTCTGAAAACAGTAAAATTTTACACAACATTCCCAATAAAAACTTTAGACTCATGAATCTCTTGGAAGATCTTGAGATATCCAAAGAAATGAAACTAAACCCTGATTGTTGCTTAAGCACACAAATCAACCTCAATTGCAATTATAAACCCCTTTTTAAATTATTATGGGAGACTTTAGAGGAAGAAGGGTGACGTCATGTAATCTTATTATATTTTTTCATAATTTTATATTTTTAAACTTTATTAGAAATTTACAACATTTTGTAATTCATTTGACAGTTATTCTTATTTGAAACATGAAAATATATTCTTAAAAAATTTTTTTATCCAAATTTCTTACAAATTTCCATCAAGAGATACAATTCTCAATACACTTAAGTATCAGATAATGTAACATTAATACCATGTTTCTTCTTTATATTATTGTTGAACAATTTGAGCCCTTGTTTCTTAGGGATGGCTGTCAGATTGAACATACATTGACCTTGAGCAATGACTAGAGTGAATTTACAAACTAATGTCATTCTGTATGATGTGATGAACACATAAAATTTAATTTAAAAACTTAATTTTTAGAAAGTCTTTGATGACTATTAGTAATTCCAAACTATTAAATAATTTTGTAAGAATTTAAAAAACAATCTCTATTTCCTATATATGACATTTGTCAACTGTCACTTTTGAAAAATCGTTTAAAAGGACCGACATTTGATTTCATTAGTTCTATTCTGTCTACCTCCTCACATCAATCAATGGTCGGGTTCTTACACCCGTACCATGACAAAAAAATTTTTCAATTTTTTAACGTGTCTGTGAAGTCTAGTGTCGGTTTTTTATATGTTTTTTATATGTTTTTTAAGAATTTCAACAACTAAAAAATCATAATTTCGACCTATAAGGAAATGAGATCTCTCCATTGTAGTGGTATTTATAAATTGACGTAAGTTAAAAATTATAATCTTCACCAATTAGTACTTATAAGAACATTTTATTGTAGCATAGCTGTGATGATGGCTTTGTATAGCCGAAAGCGCTCAGCTAGGAATTGCTTAAAATATACACACTTCAAAAATACTTTCTACATTTTCTTTTGACTTGTCATAAGTGTGTACAAAAAATATCAGTCTGTTGATTGAAAATTTAAAAGAGCTTTTACAATGCCATTTGCCTGGATGTTAGTCAAGCATTTGACAAGGTCTGGTATCCAGGATTAATATTTAAACTGAACAACAATTTCTTAGCCGCTATACACGATGCTAAAATCATACCTCGAAGAAAGAGTATTTTATGCAAGATACGAAGAAAGTGTGTCTAACATCCACAACATAAATGTAGAGTTCCGCAAGGCAGTGCCTTGGGAGAATCTATAATCACAACATTCGCAGATGACACTGTAATTCTAGTCAAAAATCCAGATCTCATAAGCAGCTGAAATATTACAATAAACCGTATATATAAATTGAAATATGGGCTAAGAAATGGAAGATAAAGATTAACGAAACAAAATCAGTTAACGTGGTATTTACAAAATGTCACAAAGAAACACCAAATATTCTAACATATCTTTCGAAACAGTGCAACAAATTATTGTTAAAAGCAGTTATAAATATTTTAAACGATTGGAAAACACCCCACCGAAATAGCAAAACAAATTATTGGACAACTCCACAACTTACAAGGGGTTAATAGTCATTGGACTTGCTTACATACGTTCATTCAACGAAATACTTAGTGCTACTTATTTATATGTAACAGATTGTATGTTAAAAGAATATAGCAGATTGGCGACTCTTTTCTAGTTCGCAACTAAATCTCACACATTAAGTGTAAACAGCTTTAAAATAAAAAAGAACAAGTTAGCTAACAGCTTTATTTAATAAAATTAAGGAAGTAGGACAAATGCCTATGATGAATAGAGAAGCAATATGTTTTACAAAAACAAGGAAGATATACAACAATGCACAAGCAAAAGGATGATAAAACGTAGTCATACATTTAAATATTTAAGATTGATAATATCGAAACAGGAGGTGCAACAGGAAAATATAAATAGTAGACTATTACAAACACGAAATTGAATAAGGAAACTGAACTGAATGTTATGGAACAAAATCAACACTAGAATGAAGTACATTTCTAACCAAGCAGACTTTGAATGTTAAATAAACAAAATTAAATAATTAAATCAGAAAGAATAAAGAGCGAAAGTACTCGAAAATTATTGAGTAGGAAAATTTGTTATGAAAAACGAACAATATTACTTTTAGTAACAGTGTAAAATACCAAAGGTAATTGCTTTACCTTCCAAGTGACAGCCGACATCTTAGGAGTGACGGCATCGTCATCTCTATAGTATTTGCCTAAAATTCTTGATATATTTTCCTCAGTAACTTGAGAGGAAGCTTCTGAAACAGTGTCCAAACGATATGTCTTTACTCCGCATTTTTCGTATACTCTGATCTTCATATTTTCCACCAACATACAGGCTCCTACAAAGAATTGTATTAATTTTGCTAGCTCATTCATTTCTAATGTTCCTAATTCTAATAAAATCTGATATATGTTATGCTATTTGAAACTCTATGACAAAACATCATCTGATCAGAGTTTATTCAAATGGGATGTAGAATATTTTCAAATTTTTAATCTGAGATTGTTGATTAAAACAGATTGTTCTGTTGCTGTGGTAAACACTGCCAAAGACAATGCAGTAAACGTCGGTTTGATAGTCCTCACATACACTTCATCTAAGGAATACCAACCCCAGTGGTGTCTTACGTTGCCATCCATATAATCAATTCCTTTTGTAACTTAAACATCATAATTTTTAATTATCAAACTCAAAGTTAACCGAACAACATTTGAAGCGTTTTTACATATATATCTAGTGGCAAATATGTAAATCCAGATAGCACTGATGATGGAAGTTATTTCGAAAACGTTATGTGACGCAACCCGATCGGGTTTTTATTATTATACCTTTTATAAAGGAATTTTTAAATAATTTTTTTGTGATATATGGTATACAGCCAACTACACATTATATCTGCTTTTATACTACGCATTATACAACTTTTCTAAAACTTAGGTGTGACATTTTTTATGGTAGTAGTTAACAAGCTTTTAACTTCCTTCATTTTAAAACTTAAGTTTTCTTTATTTGACCCCCTATCAGCTCGATAAGGTTCAGCTCACAAGAATAAGAAGGAAAACGATGTACATTTATGTTGTTTTCACGAGCCATTTCGTCGTCAACATATAACTTGAAGGTATATGTTAATAATTATACTTTCAACATGTCATCGAATGGTATATATTTTTTAAAATAGCCATTTGATTATTTTTGTCAGACACCTATTTGCCAGGCAGTTGTTGGTATTGGCTCCAACCATTGGCGTCAACTCTATGATACATTGTCTATAACAATGGTCAAGAATCTTTTCAAACCAACCTTCGAATCTTTGAGCGTCCATTTCCTCATGGTAATCGTTGGTTTTCTTGGATTGAAATAGTTACAAGCCGTTGTCCTTAAAACGCGAATCTCTGCCTATATGTGTTATGAGCATCCGTCCTTTACCCACTAGTGTTGTATAACCTGTTAAAAACCATTCATTGAAGGCTTTTCGACGAACTTGATTCAACCAAGATTCATCCAAATAGTACACTTTTTGCCATTCATGACGATACTCTAGGATTTTTGTGAGTAATGTCTCTGCCACAAGATAATTTGATCTGTTTCTATAAGAACACTGTTTCAGCTTCTTTTTATATATTTGATGTTCATTTGCCCTAATGTACACAATAAAACACGTCGTGATATTTTAGTTATTGAATCATCGAAATTTATTTCGACTTAGAACTGTCTTTAAGGTTGAGATTTCGTTCCAAAAAAAAAGAAAGCATGGAATATACTGCTAATAGCGTGTTTGGTGTCATCTTCAAGCTGGATGCGATTTGTACCTCTGGTTTCAATGTTTTAGTCTCCCTCTTGTCGACACTCTAGTCAAATTTCTACACAGAGTAACTACATCATTGGCTAAAATACTTTTATTTCTTTCACGGAGTACATAATGCACGTTGTATATAATAGATTTTTCTCATAAAATCTCAAAAAACTTGGACATCGTCTACTTTTACTACTCTCGCCTTCCATTTTGTTCACAACACTAAAATACGTGTTTACTGGTTCGATAATCTAATGAAATAATTAGACAGGTTTCAGAATTTTATCTCATACCGAAAGATGTAATAAAATTTTAAGAATTCCTGTCTTCGTTCTGGAAAAAAACTACTGCGTAATAGTATATTACATAACGAGAGTTGTAATATACTATTACTAACATAAAAATAAAAATTAAATTACCACTATATTTACACTGACAGATTAATAATTTTTAATCTGTCAAAATAACGTCTGTTTATTCGTTTCCATGGTAACTCGACCAACTGACTTACGAGGCTTATGTGATATTACACATTTTTATAAAACTGAAGCGTAATTTTTTTATTACGTGCTAGTCATTACGTGTCAGTATCTGTTATGATGCATTTACTTAGCATCCAAATAGTAGGTAATATACAATTTGCTAGTAAGAGAGTAGAAAAAAAATGTAAAATATTTACAATATGTTTATGTGAGTCATGTAACGTTTACTTCGATAGCAAAACAACTGAATCTCTGAGTTGCCGGCTTTCTCCTACGATCTCGGTTTAAGCGAGGTTTTACTATTACCTACTAACCTAAAATTATTTATTGTAATTAACCCAAATGTCAATAATAAATATAGTCCTACATTAACGTGATACATATTATATTTCTTCAATACAAGTAGCTTTGTCGTAACTTCTTATGAAATTTTGCGTACGCCATTGGACGACTTACAATAGCACTGAATCGTCATTATTACTTCTAAGAATTTACTGCCTACAATGTTGATTTTGAATTATGGATCGAAAAAACTATATCATGATATACTTATGATCCAGGTAAATAGTATTTCTTGTTTAGATCATCTGTATCACAAATATTTCTTTGTATCAGGTCATTAGGAGAAATTAATATTTAACATTATATAAAGATCTAAGAAAGTATAAAATTATGATGGACTTTTCTGCTTGTAAGATGTAAATTAATGACCAAAAATGACCAGTTAAATCTATGTTTCGGCTAATAATAAAAATATAGCTTGTATATAACAACATAGTATTTTTGATTTCTCTAACAATCTTTGTTTCTCTTGGACCACACACAAATAATTACTAACAGGTTTGTTGAACGAACATATTATAAGGTAAGTGTGATTATTTCTTGTTATTTGTTTATGTATCTATTTTGGTTTTAAAAGTTTTTCTTCGTCGTCATAGAAAAGACAAGGTAGTGCCCTTTTTACTTTTTATTTGGTTCAATTTTTTCTATTTTCTTTCAGATAATACAATTCATTTTCTTTATTCTATTTGACTTAAATTAATGTTATGTTAAAGTTAATTTTTATGTTATCCAAAATTATACCAACTTCTGGATCTTCAATCCAGGTTCAATTTACTTAGATGTTTTTCTTTATCCGAGTCGTTTGATGCTATTAGAGTTTCACGTTATTAATCTTCATCGGACGGGCCTCAAAATATTACACAAAAGACGGGCCGGGGTCTGTACGGACCTTACACTATTCTTATATAAAAAAAACTGTACCAGTAACACATTATTTTTTTAGTATTAAACATTTATTAGCCTAAAGCATATGCAACATCAACCAACATCATGTAAAATAGTCGTCCGATATATCTGCTATGCCATTTGTATAAATTGTATAAACGCCTCATTTTGAACCGCATCCAGGAAACATTAGATGCAAAACTAATCCTACAACAAGCAAGCTTTAGACCAGGTAAATCATGCACAGGCCAAGTGCTGAACCTAACAGAATACATAGAGGAGGGATTTGAGCAGAAAGAGATAGTAGGAGTAGCCTTGATAGACCTTACAGCGGCCTATGATACGATAAACCACAGAACCTTGCTAACTAAAATCTATAACACTGTGCTTGACTAAGACCTGGTAAATATCATTAGATCACTGTTATGTAATAGACGCTTCTACGTTGTTCTAAATAGAAAGAAGAGTAGATGAAGCATCCAAAAAAATGGCCTACCTCAAGGAAGCGTTCTGGAGCCGTCCTTATTTAACATCTACACCAACGACCAAAAAATGCACCCTCAGACTGAGAGTTTTGTTTACGATAACGACCTTGGTATAGCCGTAAAGGGGAAAACACTCACACAAGTAGAGTCAACAATGGAAGATGCTTTAAACATGATGTCAACTTACTACAAACAAAACTCATTAAAGCCAAACCCTACTAAAACCCAAGTATGTGCATTCCATCTCAACAACCAACTGGCGCATGTAAAACTGAATGTTTCTTGGGAGGGACAACGCTTGAAACATACTGATAGGCCCAAATATCTTGGTGTGATACTAGATCGGTCACTAACGTATAAATTCCACTATCAGAGCACAATCCAAAAGGTCTCTACGAGAAACCACCTTCACCGGAAATTTGTAGGGATCTAGACACGCTCAACAAGTCACCACGGCGTTAAATAAAACATGTAGAATCATTACCGGTTGTATGAAGCCTACCCCTCTACACCTACTGTACCAAGTAGCTGAATTCGCATCACCAGACGACCGTAGATGTGCCTCACAATATGTGGAGAAGTTCAGGCAAACTTTTGATGAACGGCACCAATTATACGGGTTTGACGAAACGCCAGGAATCAGCCGACTTAAATCAAGGAAAAGGTTTATGAAAAATGTCAGCGTCGAACTACCCGAAGTGTTCCCCCTACATCCAGAACGACCTAATGGAATGAACCTGGACTGGAGAACCTGGCGGACACTCAACCGCATGCGCACAGGTGTTGCCCCTGTAAAACAGAACCTAATTAAATGGGGCATCAAGACAGATAGCGAGGCACTCTGTGAATGTAGGGAAATACAGAACGTGGAGCACCTGAGAGTATGCAGACTTTTCCCATCACAGTGCACCCTCGATGATTTATGACTCGCAAATACAAAGGCTGTAGACGTAACCCGATATTGGGCAGAAAAACTGTAGTCGGATCCAGACTCGAAAAAGTAAAAAGTAAGTGTAGAATTTCGTCTGAAAAAAAAAACAGAAGGAAAGCGTTTTTGATACTTGATATATCAACGACTTTTGTGTTTTTGGCAACCTTGACCACTCAGTTCCATATTTAGATACATATACCGGTATGGCTTCGGAGTCAGAAACTGTTGGTTCAATTTGCTCTATGCTTTGATCTATAATATGGTAATTTTCTTCTTCTACCTCTGCTACATTGTCTTCATCTTCTAAATCACTTGCTGTATCCTCATTGATATCAAGCTCTCGATCATCACTTTCAAGTAAACGTAAAAGTTCATCTCCATTCAGTTGTTTTCATGTTCATGTCCATGTTCATGTTTCATGGATTCCCACATTGGATGCCACATAAAAGGCTGGCCGAAGCATTAGGAGACCACAGCCTATAACATTGAAGTTTAAATTTAATCTAACCGTTAAATGTTCTTGTAGACATAATTTTTTATCAATACAATATGTAAACTACAGATAGATGGAAGACTGCCGATTAAAAATTAAGATCTATAAAGTAACAGATAAAAATTGTGATATTGGGTCAAAATAGACCCCGGCCAGTCCGATGAAGGTTAAAATAGTTACACAAATTAGTACAACTATGATTGGTACATTTTTAGTGAAATTGTTATTCTAACTAGTAATAATAACAACTAATACATAATAATATTATATGAATATATTACCTTCGATCACGAAATATACATGCTGTTGAAGTCCTACGCCGTCTCCCAAAATAGTCTCATTAGGCTCAAAATTTCTGGTTTTACAAATTATACAACATTCCCTTTTCGTAATATAGTCCCAATTCTTAAAATAAGTAAGTCGATCCAATACGCTGTTTAACCGATCCCACAGGGCAGTGACAGTTTCTTTCAACACGTACTCGAAGTCCGCCTTTTTTACTTTCAGAAACTCACAATCGGTGTGGGTTTTGATTGTGGTTAATCTTCCGGTTCCGTGCAGTAAAGCCACTTCACCGAACATTCCTCCTGGACCTATAGTCCCTATTTCTTCGGTTACGTATTCTTTGAGTATTTGGTCGAATCTGGTTTTTAAAACGGTGCATTCGCCAATCAGTACAAAATACATTGCTGAAGAAAACAAATATTTCTTATGAGTAAATTTAAATCCAATTTTAATCAGATTGTATATATCCGAGATTAAAATAAAACTGGTTACGAAAAGTATGTCAAAAAGTATTTACTTTGTCAGTTTAATAAATAAATACTTTTTCCGAAAACCAGTTGTGCTAACGGAAACAATAACAGCAATGATCACCAAAATAACAAGCAAAGAAGTTAATCAAGTAGTTTAAAAATTAAAGAAAAGTAAAGCAGTTGGTTTAGCTGATATTCCTACAAAAGTGTGGAAAACTTACGACAATTACCAATATGACCGACCATAGCAGCAAGTTCTGTTTATGCTGTTAATTGTTTTCCACTCAACTGATTTGGTTAAATATAAACATTGCATGTTCTTCTTCTTCAGCCTGTATTCGTCCACTGTTGGACATAGGCCTCTTCCATTTACTTCTATTGATTTTTACTCTTAGCAATTCTCATCGACTGCTTGCCCACGACTTGTTTGATAACATCTGCCCACCTCTTCTGTGGTCTGCCTACTCCTCGCCTGCTTTCTCTTGGTCTCCAGTTTGTTAATCTCTGTGTCGATTTTTCGGGATTATCTCGGACAACATGTCTGACCCATTGCCACTTGAGCCTTGCTATACGTTCTGCGACATCAGTAATATTTGTTCTATAAGTCTAGTCGAGCATCCCTCTTCGAAATACTATCGAAAGCCTTGTGAAAGTCAATAAATGCCATATGTAGAGGTACATTATATTCTATGGTTTTTCAGTGTTCTGATGGTTTGTAAGTGATAGTTAGTACCAAACCCTTTTCTAAATCCCGCCTGTTCAACTGGTTGATATAAATCAAGTTTTTGTGATATGCGGTTGGTTATTATTCTGTTATCAAATTGTATAAGTGTGACAACAAACTTATAGGTCTGTAGTTTTCAATATTAGTAGTTTCTCGTTTCTTGTGTAAAAGTATTATTTCGGCGTTTTCCCACAGACTGGCTATTCTTTTTTCTGTTAAACACTTATTCAACAAAACTTCCACAACCTCTACAACGATGTTGCCGCCAATTTTTAATATTTTAGACGTTATACGATCCTCGCCAGGAGCTTTTTTTATTTTTTTATCTGCTGTAAGTCATATCTAATTTCCGAAGAAGATATTTTAGGGAGAGTTTCCGACTAGACCTTTAGATTTGTTCTATGGTCTTTTCTTTCCGGGGTTTTGTATAGTAGATGTATACAGATTCGCATAGAACGTGTGTATTTCCTTGATTATTTGAGATTTTTCCGTCACCGTATTTCCCTGTTGGTTTTTGAATTTAGTTATTTTTTATTTATCTTTAGTTAAATTTGATTTCAATACTCTCATGTTTTTATTGTTTTCGATGGTTTGCAATATTTGTTTTGTTTGATAGGCTCGCAAGTCTAACCTTATGCTCTTTTTAATTTTATTGTTGATAGCTTTATACTCTGGTGATTATTTCGATATTCTTCTTTTTCTTTCTTCCATTAAATCCAGTGTTGTTTGTTTCAATTTCGATTTTCTCGGATTTTTATTTTTATCACAGATCTTTTTTGCAGTTGATGTTATGATATTCGTTAATTTTTGTGTTATTCCATTGAAATCTTTCATGTTGAATACTGGTAGAGGTCCTAGTCTCTTTTTTAGTTTACTTTGATATTCCTCTTGATTGTTTTCGAGTGCTTCTATGTTTGGTAATTTATCCTGTGTTAATATTTTTTATCGAATTTCGTATTTACTTCTATTCGAACCCTAACTAATCGATGATCACTACCAGTGTTGACAGAATTCAATACAGTAACATCTTAATCAATGTTTTTGAAGCTAGAGACTATAAAGTTAATTTCATTTTTTACTTTGTCGTCTGAGCTCTGTCACGTCTTCCTTATTTAAATAAACTTGAATTTAAAATATGTTTTGTTGAATTGAAATAGAGTTAAGAAATATTTATGAGCCTGGGCGCGCCGGGCGGCAGACTGTGTTAAACCGGCACTGGTTCCACCTCATCATCATCTGCAGAAGAAGTTGGTGCATAACAGTGGATTATTTGAATGGTGTATCTATGATTTAGTTTTATTACTAGATAGGTAACTCTATTAGAAATCGCTTGGAATTTTGTTACCAAGTTTTTAATTCTCTTATGTACCAAAGAGCCTACGCCTTCTTTACCTTGGTTATTTCCTGAATTGTATTGGTACAAAGTGTGCCCTGATTTTAGTAGAGTCGTTTCTTCGGGTTTAAGCCTTGTTTCGCATAAGCCTACTATGTACCATTTTATGATATTAAGTTCGTCTTGCAACTCTTCTAGATTATCTTCTGTCCTCATCGTTCTGATGTGCATTCTGTGTGTAGTAAGCGAATTCTTGTCTTCCCCAGATTAGACGAGAGAGACCCTTTTCTGGGTGTGGGATTTGGCATAACATACTCTACCCATCTGGAGACTGTTTCTGTTCGTTTTACTATTCGCCATGTCTATATTGTTGGAAGGATGAGTAGCCTTAAAACACCACGCTGGCTAGATGGGTTAGTGAGTTTTATATCAGCCGCCCACTCTGAGTCAAACGCTGATCGTAGCCATCCATTCGGGATCAGACGCTACTGTTTTCATTTTATATTAATCCTATAATCGAGGGTTGCCACTTGGTTGCCACTATTAGGAGTGACACCTAATTTGCGGAGGGCATGGATTGATTCATTTTCCCTGGGAGGACTATCTTTAAAAATTTAAAGAGTTTGGAACATTGAATGCATAAGTTAAATTATATAATTCTTTTCACAGTGCACTATTTATTTGTGCATTTAGTCTGAAGACTGGTATGGCTTGTATCATTCCGTGGTCACTGCTTGTGGTGATCTTGTTGAGTACTGTTACATCTTTAATGATTTGTTTGTTGTCATTTATGATTTGTGAAATTTTGTGAAAGAAGCTGTTTATGTTGAATAAATTATTCTGCAGTAGGAATCCTAGTAGCGTTTCCCCTCGGTCGTTTCTTTCTGCGGAATCGAATTTTTCCAAGGATGTTTCTAGCTTTGCTCCTTTTACACCTATTTTTGCGTTCGCCACATAAAATTGTGAATTCAGTACGAAAGTCATAAACGCAGTAAATATATCGTCATAAAACATTTCGATTTCTTCGTGTGTAACATGAACACTTACAAAAAAGGTAGTTAAGAAGATACGCCTAATTCAGATAACTATGGAGCTCCAGATGTTGGGTGTCTCTCTGAGAGACCGAATATCAAACGAAGAAATACGCCATAGAACAAAAACAACAGACGCTATCAAAAAAATCGCGTCGCTAAAATGGAATTGGGCAGGATACGTCGCCAAATTATCAGATAACCGATGGACAAAACGTATTTTAGAGTGGAGACCAAGACAAGACGCAATACGGAGTAGAGGACGCCCAAAAACTATATGAACTGACCACCTGAAACGTATTGGCAATAACTGGAAGCAAGCCGCACAAGAGAGAGGGACAGGTGGAAAGAGCTTAGAATGAACTATGTCCAGCAGTGGACGCATTATTATGATGATATCCTGTTGTTGGAGCGTATACTTAGATAATTTTGAGTTGCTATCTACTGTTCAGCTTCAGAATAAGATATGTCACCTGATTTCAGTGTTTTCAAAGTTTTAAATACATTTAAAAAATTATTTCTAAAACTAAAACAGGAAAAGTAAATAAGGAAAAAACAAACAACAAGAAGAACGCAGTATTAAGCGACAGCGAAAGACGAGCAGATTGAAGAAATCTATGAAAATAAAAGTGCACTTGGAAAATTTAATACTAAACGATATTGTGAAGAATGAAATAGAACCCAATCAAGAACTAGATATATCCGATGTTAAGGAGGACGTCTACATACTCGTACAATTTTCCACGAAAATGAAAATTGTATATTACGTTGCTCATGTTAAATTGGTAGAAAACGGTTGCCATGTAGTACCTTATCTTCGCCGTAAGAGCAATTCATTTATATATCCTCTCAATCCAGAAAAGTACGAGGTCGATCCTATGTATGTAATGTTAAAGCTTCCTAATCCAATTTCTTTTGATGAGACAGAACGCATGGAGAAGTGACTAATATTTGAAATGTATCTTTCTTCTTACAATATTTAATAAACCTTAAATTTTTGTTAATCTACATATTCTTTAGAATAATGTTTAGTTTACTAGACCTACCTTTTCATTTCTTTCTTTTATAAAAAAAAGTATTTTTAATATAGTTTGTGTATCATTTTTGTACAATGTCGTTTAACTCTCTTCCAAACCCAATTTTACTGACTTAAACACAGCTTTTAAATATGTCTCAAATTTGCTCAGATGTTGTCTATAAATATGGAAAGGTTCTGTATATATTTCTGCACATAAACATGTGTTTTTCTTTGAATTGTACTGCCGTTTAGGCATCAAAAATCAAAAGATTTAAATGATGCCTCATAATTGCCCACTTGATCCTAGATCAAAAGTGTTGCTGTTCCTGAAATTATATTTTAATTTTTTTTCTTATTAGGAAAATCTATGGAATATATAAGATCTTAGACAAGGGGATATCATTTCGCAAAAACTTTGAACTATCCTCGAATACGTAGTGAAATCACTGCCTTGCAAGAACAAATACGTGTTTTATTTAACTCATCTTAGTTTCGTTGGTCAGTACCCTTATTTATTGCATTTCTACATATGCAGCTGAAACATGGACTCTCAATAAAATCGAGAGAAGTAAGACCGAAGCCTTCGAAATGTGTGCATATATAAGAGCTCTAAGATCCAGCCTGTCAATTCTGGAAGAGCTTCATATAAAAGACAGACTATTATAAAAAGTAAAACGAGCATACCGAATTTACTTCGGCCACATAGCTAAAAGAACGGGGACCATGGAAATATAGATAGTAAAAGTCCAAAGATCAAAAGGAAGGTCTCCAATAGGATGGGCAGACCAAATGAAGACTCTGGTGGGAAAATCGCTACATGAAGCCGTCCATATGGCACAAGATTGCAGCCAATGGAGACAACAAGTTAATATTTAGAATGTTACCACGCCCTAACAAGAGCTTAAGGAATGAGGAGGAGGAGATTCACAGATTACAACATTCTTATTACAGATAATATCGCTGATGAAAACAGATACTTAACGAATTATTAAAGGCCAAAACCCAATAATAATAAATCTAATGCTCGCACAAAAAATCAGAGTATGTGACATCGACATAAAAGAAACATGATACACATTGGAAAGAACAACCAAACGCAGGAGATACTGCGAAGAATGGGTTTGGGTTGCATATGACTGAAAAGAAAAATATGTAAAAAATGCATGTAATCGATAATTACATACAGAACGGAGACACTAACATTAAAAGAAAAGTAATCCAGAGACCCATAAAAAGAGACCCATGCTTGGAATCACTAAAAGAGACATTATACACATTACACGATAAAACTATCAAACTTAAAACGGAGATCAAGAACATAGTAAAACATCCACAAGGAATCTACGTTCCTGTAGTTGGCTGTATACCATGTAATAAAAATTTAATTAAAAATCAGTTAAAAAGACAAAACGTTTTCGGAAACCATGTTCCATCATCAGTGTCCTAGAAAATAGTTAACCACTTAATTAAAAAGAACATAGGTTAAAATTTTGACTAAGGTTAAAGAACAATGTGGTTAATATTTACTAGGAGTACATGAATGTAGCCACCAAGATTAAATATGTGGGTAAAAACCCGATTACAGATGTTTAATTACATTTAGTTTTAAAATAATGTTATAATGATTTAGGATTAAAGAGTTACCGATGGATTAGGTAACATGGCGACATATGACTCCACGTTGAAGTTGCTAGTCCTGAGACGGTATGTCTTCGAGGACTGTATGAGTGCAACTGATTGGCAATGACATTTGATGACGATATTGTTAAGTTATGACAGAAATAATCACAGAACAGTCAATGTAGCTGTATGTTTCTACTTAAGACAAAAGCCAACGTTATTTAAAATTGTGAAAATTAAGTAAATTAATATAACAGTATCAACCATCAAAGTTGTAGTTTTTAATTTATGAAATTAAGATGATATAAGGGAGCAAAAATTGTATGGTTGTAGTTAGGCAACGAACTATACATGTATATAGCAATGTAATATAGAAAAAATTTTATTATATGGCCCTTTATGTTACTTAAACATTTGGTACCCAGAAAATATAAACTAGACACATGTGGAAGGTTGAATTTTAGAAAATATTGATGTTAATGGTTGGATCTAAATGTATTTATTTATAATTGGAAGTGTTCTTGTATGAATAAAATAAAATATAGTATAGTAAAACATATACTCTCCGTGAACGTAGAACGACAGATAAACTAGAAAAATATTAAAAGGGCAAATATAGCATACCTCGACCACCACACGTTGGAGTGACGACGTAACAAAGAATTGCTGGAAACTGGATCATGTGAGCACAAAATCGAAAGAATTGGACCAGAGCTATATTCACGAGTTGACACGAACGGCTATATGATAATATGAGCACGAAATAATTGTATTGCAGCCTCTGGAAGTAGTAGAAGAGGAAGATTTAAGAAGATTGTCATTAGAAATATTCCTTACCTTCGGGTGAATGATCTTGTTTTATAACTACCCTTCCAGGTCCGAAATACTCGAAATAAGTAACAGCAGCCAGTTTTTCTTTCACCTCTGGAGGATACTTCCTAAAACACCTGAGACCACTAATACACTTAACCAATATCTTCTTCTCCTCATCTGTACGCATCTCTTTAGGTTTATTTAAAATCGACTTCTCTTTGATAGTCAATAAACTCTGTATTCTTTTCCTTCTCATAAGCAAACGGATATTGCGCTTAACGTTGTCGCCAATCTTCATATCTTCAGGATCACCTATCCAGTAGAGATTCGCCATTACGAGGCGAACGGTTGCTCTGAATCTGGCAAGAGCTCTCTTTCGCCGTAAGTAGCCATTATCTGGGGATATATCCAAATGAGAGTGTGTCGGAGATGCTGCATACATTTTTAATTTAGAAAACTTGAGAAAAATATGTTAAAATATGTATTATGATATTTATATTGAAAATAATTAGGTATACAAAAACAACTAACTCAACAAAAATTGTTGACAAGTGACATTGACAAAGTTTTAAAGTAATTCTTTGGCACATTTTGTAGTTGTTTGTAATTTTAAACATTAAAAAATTGAAGTAGAAAATAATAATTAGAGCTTGTAAACAGGCCTTTATTCGACTTTGGCACAAGATAATATTAAGAACGTCAGAAATGTGTAAAATCAGGATATCGTTTTCAAAGATGAAAAAAAGGATAAAAAATGTTCATTTAAGGCCAGTGTATATGATGTTAGTAAATAAAAAAGTCAAGTAAGCAAGTAAAATGATTTGTTATTTTATAAGGCAAGTAACTAAGTAAGTTATGTTTCCATATAGCAAGTATGTGGGGTAAATTGAGTTCATACCCTTAGAATTTAGAATTGTGTATTGTGTGATATGTTAAACCTGAATCGTAAACAAACACGAAATATGTTTATTACAGTGCAAATGTATTAATGCGCCAACTTTTGGAAATATTAGAAGAAGAAGTTACTATATAAGACTATGGGTAAGAAACTGGATAGCAAGAAGAAATGTAAGTGGAGGCTCTGCATTAATTCTAAAAAAACTTTATTTTGAAGATCCTGCTGAATACAGGTCGTGTGTAAGAATGTCTCCAGAAAGCTTTGAAATAGTGCTGAGTTTAGTAGGTCCTGAAATTCAGAAGACAGATACCTTTAAGAGAGATTCGATACCACCATTAAACTAGAGTTAACATTATCATATCTGGCCACTGGTAATAGCTACAGGAGTCTGCAAGATTTTTTTCGTATTTTAAAATCTGCTACATCAAGACTAATTCCCGAAGTTTGTGATGCAATCTATAATAAACTAGGAGAATAGATAAAGGTAATGACAAATGTTTATTTTCAAAAATACATACAGTAGGTTAGGTCAGTATTTTACAGTAAGTTTAATGTATTTGTTAACAGAATTATTTTCTTGGGATTCATAATAATCATCTGTGATTGAATATACTGCTTGAGAGAGAATGCCGTAGTATCCTTTTTTTTATAATTGCACGTGTATCAGGAACAGGCTTATCATAATATGACGTTAGTGTTGATGTTTGAGATGTGCGATTGAGATTTTTTTTTAAATTTAGATTGCAAAATTATTTTGCAAAAATTATTTGATCGATTGTGCTGAAAATTTGTGTAGTGTTTTTAAGGATTTATGTTGCTTTGAAATACCTAAAAACATTTGAAAACATAGAAACATTGATTTTTGACCCTTTTTTAATGTCTTTGTTAATTTTGCAATATTAATAATTATTTTTCAATTTAAAATTAATTTTATTTTAGAGGAAATTTAATTACAAAACTTTTTTGTCTTTGCAAAATTTTTCTAAAATACATAGCTGCCGAGATATAGCGACAAAAAACGAAGAAATAAAACTGAATTTTTATATTTTTCACAAATTGTTTAATAAAAAATTTACTCCACCTTTTAAAATAAAATTATTATTTTGATTAATATTTCGCGGCGATTAAAACAAAAAAATAGAATAACAGATATTGCCTTGTCTATTTAGTACGAGAGGAACACAACATATGGATCTCATGTGCACAATAAATCATGTAAACATACGTTTACACGTTTGCAAAACATATTACTGCTTCCCGTATATTTAATAATTATTATCCTCACAGTTCATTGTATTATAGAACGTGGCAACAATTTATCAATATAACGGCGCATAGACTTTTCCAATAACAGGAATAACAGGAAACAAGAAGGAGCTGAAGTGGCAAGTTCTTTTCATTTCCGAATAGACATGTATTAAACACTTGAGGAGTTTCGGAAAAACGATAAGAGGGAGCAATAATAACCCAAGAGCAATATCTTCCAGACAAAGGGAGGCAATCTTATACGTAAAACGTTTTATTATATGAGTATGGGTTCTCGTAACGATTCATCACACGCACGCTATTTTTTTAGACAAAGAACAAGGTAATGGAAATAATTTTTAACAAAGAAATTGATTATATATATATATATATATATATATATATATATATATTGGGTGGTGAATCGTCAGACGGAAAACCCAGTAGAGAAAATTCTAAATTGTCTAAATTGTTAAATTAACATTGTTCTACGAATTAAACGTATTCCAAAATTTTGCAAGAATATAATACATTGTTGAGGCCACACGCTGTGCAAGAATGTGTATGACATGTTGCGTTTGGTCATATTGATGTTTCTGATATTTGACAATATTTTAATTGCCAAAATTTTTATTTTGTGATTTATTGTTTAAAAGACAATAAAGTTGATTAAAAATGTATTTAGTTGAGGAGAAAGTAGCAATAATAAAACTGTTTTATTCGGGTAGTAGTGCGCGAATTGACAGTTATTTATTTAGCGTAAGATATCGCAATAAACCGATTCCAAGTCATTCAACAATTCAAAGAATTTTACAAAATTTTGAAAATACTGGGACCGTGATTTCTAATTGTACCTGTACAAACAATATTGCTGAGGTACCAAGACATTTACAAAATCAAAATTAAATACATGTATTAACAGCAGTTGTAGAAAATCCTAAATTAAGTTCTCGGACAATTGCAGACCAGTTTAATATTTATAATTCCATGGTCTTAAAAATTTTAAAACGTGAATAATTTTCGTTCATATAAATTTCAATGTCATCATGAACTAAGAAAAGGAGTTTTGAGTGACGAGCGGAATTTTGTTATGATATTTTAGAGATTGGTAATGCAGATAGACAATTTATAAAAAACATTTTGTTTAGTGATTAATGTACATTTACATTAAATAATGAACCAACTGTTCAAAATTATAGGATTTGGTCGACAAAAAAGCCTGAGGATATTATTGAAAGCCATATCCAATATCGTCGAAAAATAAATGTCTGGTTAGGAATATTTGAATAAAATATTATTGGACCATTTTTCTATGAGGAAAATTTAAATCCAAAAAAGATTTTAGACTTGCTACAAGAAGAGATTTTACCCAGACTTACAGAAATAGCTCCAAATAAAGAAGAAATTTGGTTTCAAATGAATGGATGCTCTGCACATAATAACTGGGTGGTTAAGGAATTTCTTAAAAATAGTTTTTTAATCATTGTTTGATTGGACCTGGCTGTAACATTAAGTGGTACCTGAGATCGATAGATCTAGCTCCAAACGATTATTTTACTTGGGGCATCTAAAATCAAAAATTAATTCTGACCACAAATTTACAATTATAGAAGTAATAAAATTAAAAATACGCATTATTGAAGAGTGTGCAAAAATAACACTACGTCTTCTAGCTAATGTTAGACGAGAATTTTACAATCGATTGGGATACTGAGAAATTATCATAAATTATATTTAGGAAGGATCACAGTAAAACTATATTAAAAATCTTTGAATTGTTGTATAACCTGAAATTGAATTGCGAGTGTATTATTATAATATCTTACATTAAATAAATATCTGGCACTGCTCGCACTATTGCCTGAATATAACAATATTGCGATTTTTCGTGAACTGAGTACATTTCATCAACTTTATTGTGTTGCTTACAAAATACTATTTATTGTTAACTAGTAGTAGTACTATTTGCAAAAATTTGTTGTTTATATTTTAATCATAAAATAAAAATATTGACAATTCAAAATTCAAATATTGTCAAATATCAGAAACATCAATATTATGATCAAACTCAACATGTCATAAACATTTTTGTACCGCCTGCGGCCTGACTTTAAGGGGTGGCCTAAAAAATATTTTATATTTTTGCAAAATTTTGGAGTACGCTTAATTCGTAGAACAATTTTGATTCTTGTTTTAATGCAGATTTCACTCCTCTATAAAAAGTTTCTTATAACTTTTGATGTAAAATATCTAGGGAAGTAGGAAGAATTTACAAATATAGAATTTTCCATTGAGTTTCCTATGGCCCGTTTGGCGATTCACCACCCGGTATATATATATATATATATATATATATATATATATATATATATATATATATTTGCTATGTAGAATTGAAAATAATATTGGTTATAATAATTCAAATAATTCGACTAATAAACTATAAAAGATATTTCGAAGAAATAAAAGTCCATGATCCTGGATTACAAAATTTTAAAGATATGCATAAATTATTTTCTTCGTAAAATATATTCCAGTGACGTGAGTGAGCTTAAGTGAAATCATGAACAATGCGAGCGGGTTTTCCAAAAATGGACTTGTACAGTGAATAAGACAATAGAATAGAATATTTAGAAATATGTTTCTCCGTTAGTTCTTAAGAATTTGTAGAAACCGATTAGCATGGTAATAGTTTTTAGGAAATTTATAATTGTAGGTAAAATTGTTGTTTGTTATCTAAATGAGGAGATGGGGATACGTGTGACGAGTTTTGATTGGAGGAGATTGAAAAAAGTGGGATAGGTATGTAAGAATGAGAGTTTTGCTAGATTTTTGAGCAAAAGAAGATAATCAGTTTTTTTCCAAGTGTGCAAGGCGAACAGTTATTGTTCTCTGGTGGTTCCCGAGAGGTAGTAAGCAGTAGAAATTATTGTTTGTGAGTTTTAGAGGAGTAAGTGTATCTGACAGAAGCTGATCCAGTAATATATTGTAATTTATATTTTTCTACTTATATTCCAAGAGTCACTGTTCAGGCCAGAACGAGAGATTCAGCTTATCGAGAGGAGAAGAGGCTAGCATCATTTGAACGATACGTGCATTTGAAGTAGATCATTAAAGACGATAGGCTTGCAACAATTTGTTGTAAGATTGCTGATTACCTAGGGGCTGCTAAGAATAGATAATGTAGAAAACAAGGAACAAGAATTTGGACAAATCATTATCAGAGAGATAGTTTACTATTCGCCAGTTTTTCCTTATTAACAACACAATTTTTTACAATAGCTTTAGAAACGATAGGGATATTTTGTTTAGATTTAGAACAACAATTTTGATTTGAAATTTTAATTTATATTGTATATTATATGCCATTAATTTTTGGAGGTTCACGTACGTAAAACAAAAGTTTGATAATC